CAAGGTATTTTTAAGTTAGTTTGACCATGGACAAAATCATCTTTAAATTCTCTGGGGGAGACCTAAAAATAATAGTTTACAAAGATAGAAAAACAACAAAGAGATAACAATAAACCATCAAGGGACAAGGATAGGTAAGAATGGAGAAGACTGACACGGATTGCAAACGACTAACTAGAAAAATTTACGCTAAACGTTTCAACATGTGCAAACCGTGTCGTGGCTTCTTTCAAAAGAATACACTTATCCGAACATGAGCGTAAAGAACAACAACTATTTCGCGTTCTCAAGTCTTCCTGTCTCCTTTGTAATTCACAGTCAAAACTAGCAGTAATTTGCTTACTTTTAAGTCATCGACAATCAGGCTGTGTAAGCAACAGCTCATCATGGTCACTGGATACAAATTCTAATGACGTTTTCAATGATGTCTTCTTTTTCTTTTTCAACGAGACAGCTAACTATGCACCAGGGTTTCCTGTAGTGTGTATTAGAATATTCAAGGACTGAGGAAACAGAAGGACTCTCAATTTGTGTCTACCTGTCTTATTAAAGACTTTTCTGAATACCTTTTTTTGTTTTTGTCTCTTTTTTTGTGTCCCTTGAATGTTTCGGATGGGGTTCCTTGCCTTTGCTTTATTTCAGTTACCTTTCAGGGAAGAAAATAGTAACTTTTAGACACTTTCAAAAAGGCATAATTACAATAAAAAAATCTCAAGATCATTAAACAGCAGGTTTGTCGACTAGAAGGTTTATCGAAGGTTCGACGGTGGCGAATTTACCGTATCTTTCTCTTATTTCGCAATCCGATACACTCTTCACCTCTGGATCTGTAGCTCACAATTAACCCAATCCGCCCTCTATACTTCAAGAAAACCTTAAATTAGAAAAGAAAACTTAAAATTTCCTAAAATATACCATCCCCGTGTGGTGTATTCCTCCACTTTAGTTTGTTTGTTTGTTTGTTCGCTGAAGTCTTGTAAAACTAAACAGTTCACGGAAAAAATATTTGCAGAATTTTGTCATCATTAACGACAGGAAATGTTTGTAATGGGTACATACGCCTCTAGGATTGAATATCTTCGTGGTGTGGAGTTAATTTTGTGACATTGTGTGCTCTTGTTTCCTTTTATATCTCCCGGCTTCTACTCTTCTGTTTTCCATCATGTTACATGGCGTCAATTCTCTGTTGTCGCACATGCGGATATCCTTGTAATTTTGGTGAAAATTTTCTCTCGGGTATCATTGCTCTAGGTAACAGAGCTTCATGTTTGAAATTCGCGAATTGTTTCTCAGGAAGAACTCGTCGAGTCTAGCCACAGACATATTATTTTCTCTCAGGCAATAGCGGTCAGTTTGCACATGTAGCGTTTAAACCCCTTATCTCCCGCAAAATCACTGTTTTTCATCGGCATATCTTAGATAACTGTAGCGTGCGGTTTGTTAAGTTTTTGACTGAAACCATCAGTTGCTGCGCGTGTCTGTCAAAAACCATTGATAAAAGCAGATATTTCCTTCTGTCATGTACGATTTTGATTGTATAACTGCCGCAATAGGCACAAACGATTGCCTTAGTGGATTCTCGATTTCATTTCACTTTGAGCGGTTCGGTTCGTATCCATGCTTCGTTTGGTTTACGCTCTCGCGTGACCTGCTGATAGTCGCCCCCGCGTAATTTTGCTTGTCTTTTATTTTATTGGCGTTCAGTTGCTCTGGCGTTGAATTTCATAAGCATCAATCGGCTCATTGTGATATGCCCTCGATCTTCGCGCGCCGATTTTACGCACACGGAAGGATTATCTGCTGTAGCGATTGCAGTCGACTTGTTTCTGTTGGTTTTTAACTGAGCTGCTTTGGAGGCGAAGCTTAGCGCTTGGGAGACATCAAGGCGGGTGACATTGCCGAAATCGCGACGCTGGATCCCAGGAAAACAAGGCGAACCAGCCTGGATTTGCTGTTAGCAGGTCGCGTAGCTAGATCTTGGAAAATATTTGTGTCTGTTTTTGTTTGGTAATGACTACGACGCGGTCATGTTATGCTGTGCAGAAAAAGACGTTCTTAAAACCGATCACAAACGGCGTGAACGTTTTTGTGATCGATTTACGCGTTGCCCGTCGCGCAATCGATCGATGTAACGTTGTTTCTATTGCTTCTCTATAAACTTGATGACACGGACGCGATCGAGCGACGGGTTCTATCTGTCAAGGTTAATGTACCCGGTTTCATCAATATAGTTGTTTGGTGGCCGTCTTAGATTATTTCATAATGTCGGCGGTATTAAGTTTATTAGTGTAAGAACGGTAATGATTTTGCCGTGGGAATGTGCGCATAACAGTGACCCGGCCGTCCCAAACGGGAATCAGTTACCAGTGTGCTGATACGGTAGTGAGGGCGTCGAATGGCGTAGATCTCACAATTGGATCGGAAATTCAAAGAGGAAGCAATGGGCACGTGAATCCTGACCCGTGTACGTCAATCTTTTTATGGCAACATTTTGTTGAAACTCGCGCAGTGGTTAATTAATCCACGCGCTTTTATCTGGTGTCTTCGTGATCTGCAAATCAGAAATTCTCCGAATGGTTTGTAAGATCGGGTTACGTTACCGCCAAGAAGGTATTCGTTTCGAGCTGAACACAGCAAAGTTTTGTTGTCGGTGGTGAGTTTATTATTGTCCTCGTATGGCGGTGCTTGCCCCCATAAATTTCGAACGAAACGGTGTGCTTGGTCATCCACCGTACTGTAAGTTGACTTGTCAGTTGTTAACTTGTTTTATTTCACTCCGCGGTCAATACGAATTGCGCGTGAGATAACGTTGAAAAAGAATGCCGTGTATTTATCTTCATCTTCACTAAAATAAAGCTGCTCGACCGCGGCGATCTCGAGTAGCGACTACGTAAAAGATTGCTATCGTTCTCGCTGGCTTTTGACTCTGTTCTTGACTGAACTTTAGAGTTCTGTTTTCACTGGAGAGGTTGGCAGTTACAGAATCTCGCCTAACGCTCTGCAAAACAAAATTTGGTGTGGTGGATTAACTCAATTAGTCAAAAATGTTTTTAATATTTGCCCGCAAGCTTTCGTTGGGTTGTACGCCAAAATTCCGTGTGGGAAGACTGCTTTTTCGTGTATGATAGTGCAAGTTTATTTCTGATTGTGTCTTATACCACAAGCGTATATCATTCACTTATACTGAAATCCCTCAATCCTCTTCTCTTCAGATTACAAGAAAACAGATTACACGAGCCAAGACAGTGCTCCAAAAGGAAGCAGTGACATTGTGAAACGTAAGTGTCTTTCTCCCTTTTATCTTTGACCTTTGTTGATTGTGTGTACTATAAGGAGGGAATTTATGAGGGAGTATTTCAGGCGAATCACACATACGTGGGCTCAGTTATGACTAAATAACTTTTACTGATAGTTTGGGCTACCACCACAAAAATGTATTTGACCATAGATATAGAAGTGAGAACAACCTTGTACAGCTTAATAAACAGTACCACATGAAAGAACTGCTCAATAGCTTTCATCTGAATGGTCGCACTTTCTGGGTTTTGTGTACAAACAAAAACACTAGAACAGCCTTGTACAACATAATAAACTTCACCGCAGGAATGTTTTAATGGACATAATTTTTCAATACAATCACTTAGCGCAATTATGAACAACACCACAAAATTTATCCCATGATTAACTTTCATTTTAATTTTTATTTGAGTTTCGTTTAAAAACTCGAATCTTAGTACTAACTAGTTCCACAATGCATACAAGCTTGTACCACAAGAATTTGTTTTATTTATGGCATTTTCGAAAGGTCATTGTCTCTAAGTTGTACACGTTTTTACTGAACAAGTATTTGAAAAAAGTGTTTTACCCAGACGACAAGAAAGAACATGCAAAAGCGCTGAAATTGTGGTAATTTTATTTCAGCTAATGCTGTCATCCCTTGATGCTTCTAAACGTGCCATAGTATTTTAGTGGTTTGGGATTAAAATCAAAATTCTCTTTCTGAAATTAGTTCGTTGTCTAGTAGACAGGTATTGAGAACAGAGAAAATCATCAATTACGAGACGTATTCTTGATGTAATACCAAATTCTCAAATTTAATCAACAGTGAAATATATGACTCTCAGTTGAGAGAATTTCTACCTTGAGCTAGTAGTGAAGCACTTAAAGAAGCTACTACACGGTTCGCGCATCTTGAAAAGTTAAGCCAAACATTTTCAAGTTCGTCGTTTTTAATCCGTGTCAACCTTCTCCATCCTCAACCATCCTTGTTCCTGTATGGTTACTTATTATCTCTTTGATATTTTACTATGTTAGCAAACTATTATTTTCAGGTTTCCTTCAATTTAAAGGTAATTTTGTACGTGGCCAAAATAACCCAAAATACCGTGACTGAGCTCCTTTTAGTGTGTCCTTTGCAAAATTCTTCCACCGCAAGTACGTGATTCCACTGCTTTGCCTGAAATCATCGCCGGCATCCGTCCATGATTTATTGTTCCATAGTTGTTTTCTCAATAAACAATAATTACACAAAAAGTGGTTTGACCTCTGGCGCTCGTCTGGATCTGAAAAACATCTCAACATATGCAAGCAATAGACATCACATCTTCAATTTGTCTCACCAAAATTGTCAGAATTGCTTTCGTTTTGTTGAAATCCAATCTTCCTCCGATTGAAAAATTTGAAATTCTCTGGTCATACAGTCAGCTATGTTTGTAGACTAATACCCTGTTCTTGTCTTCTCTGTGCGTTCATTCAGAGCGTTATTTTTCCGTCCAACCTGTTTTGCGTTCCGTCATGTAGCCTGAAGTGTTTATTACCCCCTGCAGGAAACTTAAAATGCCTTGGATAACGAGAGTTGTTGTTGCATTACGACCGAGCACCAAACCTTCCAATTTTTCCTGAACAAAAATGCTTCGTGACGGGATTAATTTTTGCCATCGCCATCTTCCGCCGTCTTGTTAAACATCTATCAACAACATTCCAAAAGTCGAGATGATTTCCCAGTATTGTTATAGCAAGAAACACGTTTGCAGTTATCAGGTACGACAGTTCAGTGACCTCCGAAGGCTTTGAGAGTTTTGTTTTTCTTGTGTCTAACATGATAATCCACAATACATCTGTTAATGTCTGTGTGGTTTGACCCAGCCTTTCCGCTCTAAAATTGATTCACAGCTAATTTCTCCTCATAATGCCAATGCATTTTGAACCAAGCAGGTGATGAGAAAAGCGAAATTCAACCAGGTGGTATTTTCTTTATTTACCATCATATTCTCAGCACTCAGCTAAAAAGAATTGTATAAAAGCCGTGAGGAGATTTTAGATTTCGAACGTCCACTTGAAAGTGGGACACTACACCTACGTAGAGGGCCTACAAGTCCGACAGAACTCGGAGCAAAAACAACCATGGAAAATTTCATTGCAGTTCCTAAACGACTTCAGGTTCTCTCAGATGGACATCTCTTCTCTCCTTAGGAGTTGTATCGACGGGAAAAAGGAGAATTGTTTTTTGAACTGGAGCCTGGCGCCGGCTGATGGAATTAAGGACGTTTAAACGAACTTTAATCCGAGCCAGAAAAGCTAAACCGCTCGGCGCATGGCAGTCTTGTTTTTGCCATTGGCCAAGCGACCCTGAAGAAAACTTAAGGCGATTTCCGGAGAAAGACGGATTATTCGTTAACATATGTAGTCAGGTCCAAGATCTGTTTTGAATTGCGAGCACATTGATTTTTTTTCTTATTTCTTGGAACTCTTCAGACATATGTCTTACAGTGCAAAGAATATTCGATGATCTTTCAATTGGCTGTTTTGAAAAAAGACGCCAGTTGCTATTGTTGAATATCAGGTCTCTATCTGATTTTGCCTTATCGTGCTTTTCCATTCGAATTTCATATTGCTTATCACTCATTGTTGATATCAATCCAAAATGGTTCCAATTAACCTTGAACCGAAAAAGATTTCCGCACTCGTATTGTATTTCCACGCTCCAAAGCAGCGCTTTCGTGGGGTTTCTACGTGCACCAGAGGGAAAAAATTGATGTCTTGCAATGATTTTAGTGTGCCTAATATTTTACAGTAAGTAACGATTGCAGGAGCCAGAGCAGTTCACAGAAAGCCGATAGCATTTCCCCTCGTTCGTTTATTTTTGTGCACTTTTTAAAGCCACTCGTGGCAAACCAGACATAATTAATTGTACATCTTGTCATCGTTTTAAGGGTAATAAACTCGCTTATTTTGTTAGTTTGCTTTAATGTCGATCACTGCATTGTCTTCCGTCTGAACAACCTGTCTGGTATCAATTTCGCGTCTGTTTTAACGCCGTCCTCGTGTGTCTTAGCACGTACGGAGAGCACGTAGTAGGTGGTAAAGGCCTGAATATCTAACTGTTTCATGCAGCGTAAAACTGCGTATGGCTACAGGACGGTGAAGCACTCTATGCGAGGTAAGGTGTGGCCGTTTTGACATCCAGAGGTTTAAAAGACACATAAGAGTGTGGGATTTTTCTGCGAAGGATCAAAAGCGAATTACAGACAGATATCTAGGGACAATCGTTATGTCAAAGAGGTCATAAAATTGATAATTTGATTTCAAGCCTTATCTTCCTTTTGCTACTAATACTGTTTTCTTGAATTGAAAGGTTGACTGTTTAATTAAATGAAAGCTATTGAGCAGTACTTTAATGTGGTGCTGTTTAGAACGCTGTACAAGGTGGTTTAAGTCTGTGGATAAAACCCTACTGTGTGACCATTCAAATGAAAGCTATTGAGCAGTACTTTCATGTGGTACTGTTTATTATGCTGTACAAGGTGGTTCTAACTT